AAATGAGAGCAGATTATTATTATTAGCACATGCAAAGGAAAAAATTTTGGATCACAAATGGTAATACACAAAAATGCAAAATGGTACATCCACTTTGGAGAACAATTTGGCATTTTCTTATCAAGATAAACACACACTTAGCATATGTCCCTGCAATTTCACTCCTCATTATTTACTCAGAAAAAATGAAAACTTACTCTCACACAAAAGTAGCTTTATCATCAAAACCAGGAAAGAAACCAAATATCCTCCAACAGGTGAATGAATAAAGAAACTGTAGCACACAGATACAATGCAATATTACTTAATAATCAAAAGGAATAAGCTACTGATACACATAACAACACGGAGGAATCTTAAATGCACTTTGCTAAGTGAAAGAAATCAGACTTAGAAAAGACTACATATTGTTTGAGTCCATTTATACATCACTCTGGAAAAGGTAAAACTACAGGGATAGAAAACAGATCAGTAGCTGCCAAGGCCTAGAGTACAGGTAAGAGTTGACTACAAAGGGGCATACAGGGATTTTGGGGGTGATGGAACTATATATCTTGACTGTGGTGGTTGTAAGGGTATTTGCCAAAACTCATAGAAATGGACACTTTAAAGGATGCATATTACAGTGTTTAGCTTATACTTCAATAAACTTAACAAAACATTTTTTAAAAAAGAAAATTAAGAAAGATTAATACAGCTAATAATGCAACTGGGACTACTATCCTGTTTCTTACTCAAAATACCATATTTTACACAAGTGGTTTTCAAAGTGTAGTCTCTAGACCAGCAGCATGAGCATTACCTAAGAACATACTAAAATACAAATTTTGGGGCCCCCTCCGAAACCTACTGAATCAGAAACTCTTGGGGTAGGACTTAGCAATCTGTGTTTTAACAAACCCTCCAAGTGACTCTGACACACCCTAAAGTTTGAGAACCACTGCTCTTCACTCTGCTATCCAATGAGATCAGAATCTCTGGGAGGAGGGCCTGGCATCAGTATTTTTATAAAGTGACCCAGGTTGACTTTAATCGGCAGTCAGGTGTGAAACCCTCTGCACTATGCTGGATTCTTCCATCATCATAATCCCCTGGGAACTGCTGCCCTCTGGCTGTGTCTGAATCCCCATATCATTGGATTGGGATTCAAAAGTGGCCCCTCTATCTGGCCCTTCTTTCTCTCAGGACTCAGACATTTCACAGGACTTAAAAGCAGCCTCTGACCCACAATACACACCCTAACTTGGAGGTTAGATACTTCCAACTTCAGTCCATACTTAGTCAATTTTCTCCAAGCAGCTCCTTTTCTGTGTATAAAGGTTCAACCATATGACATCACCAATAATCAACTGTTTTGGGGCCTATAAAAATAGCAATCTAATATGGTCTGCATTGGCTCATTGAGGAAGGCCTTGTTTCTCCTTTGTATTTTTATATTTAGATATCTACTTTTAGTGCTTACCAGTTGGTATATGCTGTATATTTTAGCTGCAGGGAAAAAAAGAAAGACTCAACATCTCTCTACACTGTGGCTGCCAGGAAGCAAGAGGGTGTGGTGATTATTGGTGAGAAAAGTGGCCTAAAGCAAAGTCAAGTAACATAGATATTTTCCACTGAACGAAAATTTCCAAGAACTAAAATGTTTTTGAAATAAATTGTTGATATTATGGGTCTAAAATAAAATACCAAGCTAGGATTATTATTATTTTATTTTTTTTATCAAGAAAGGCAATAAAGACTAACTAAATAAGAAATGAAAAGTAAAATTAAAGCTAACTTTAAAGAGATTTAAAAAGACAAATCCCCCAAATTAAAGCAATCAAACCCATAATCAAGACTTGGTTAAACATGAATATTTTAAAATAGATAAAATACTTTTGAAAACAGAAACTAAAGTTTATTGAGAAATCATACTGAGAAAAAGGTGAAGAGAAACGCTACAAAAAAAGGTATTTCTTTTAGTTTTGATCGTTTAAAAGCTATTTATCTTCGCGGTGTCATTCTTTACATATCTTTTTTGATGTGTTGGATCATTGCCCTCCTTGTGAATCTAAACTCTTAGCCTAATCTGTATTATTGAAAACAGGTTATCTTGGTTCTATTTCCAGTATTGACAAGTCTAAGGAATAACTTTGGCTATCTTCCTAAATTTCTCTATGTGATACTCTTGCCTACAAGTCAGAACTGAATAATAATAATCGATGTCATATCATAAATATATATGTGGCAAGTTTGCTCATGTTATTTCAAATATTAGCTAATGTTTGTGGAGAATTTAAAATTATGGAGATGGAAAGGGCCTGGAGATAGATTCTATAGCTCAGCCCTCTTATTTTATAAGTGTAGAAATTAAGATCCCTAAGAAGTCATGCAATTTACCCACAGTCCTACTGCTGAGAATGAAAAAAACTGGAAATCAAATTCTGGATTCCAGACTGCTAGCATGTTCTTTCTACAAAAAAGCAATCGGAAACTTAAAAAGAGAGAGAGAGACAGAGAGACAGAGAGACAGAGAGACAAATGAATCATGAAGGAAACAATGTATCTTGGAAAACATTCTAAGTAAAAATTTCTCAGCTAAAAATCAAATTAGAGAGTACCAATGTTTCTTAAAACACTCTGAACAAGAAAGACAACTGAGTCTATTATTAACTCTCAAGTGGCATCATCTTGGTTAAATTTCTCAGCAAAATTGCATAGGGTTAGAAAATCCCACAGCACTACAACCAAACAGACATCATGATGATCAAACTTAGGAGTTTAGATTCTGAAAATGCTCATTAAAAGAATGAATGAGTGGTAAGTTCTCCCAACTACTGAGCCTCACACCCTACTGCAATAAAAGAGAGTAAAAGAATCCCTCACTTTCCTCCGAGACAGGGAATTTACTTCTGCTCCTGCTCTAGATCCCAAATTAAATAACCATTAGTTCTTCCTAAAATCTTGAAAGATAACTATACCAAACCACAGAAACACCAAATTACAAACAACACACTGGAAGTTTTATAATATCAAATATTACTAATAGGGAACTTCATCTATAATTTCTTCTAAAGGATATGGTTATCACACAGATTAAACAAGACCAAAGAGAATAAACACTTCTAACTGACAGGTGCCTATTGGAGTAAATCTCAGAAACACTAAGTGATCAATTAGTCTGAAACTGAAAATCACCCCACATTTCAAAGCTTTCACAGGTCAGTCACTGGAAGGGTATTCCAAAGCAACAGTATTCCTGTGACATGCAACAGGAAACAAGCCAGCCTCAAGAGGATGTTGAAACAAGTTTGTGTAAAGCAAACTGGAATTTTTGAAATCAATGTAAGCTTCTTCCTTCAATCTAGAGTCTTTTTTTTCTAGCTTCAAAAGAATCAGATTTTAGTGACTTAAAAGAAAGCTCTCTCTCTAGGTTTTTCACACTTAAATATTTTCACAGTCAAACAAAGAAATACCTAGGAACATGAAAGCTCAACCTCTCCAATAACAACCGACTTGAAACTTGATCGGAATTCAAAGCCTAAAATGCTACCATCAGCTTAATTATGGTTGATTTAAACAATTCCTTTCTTTTGAGTAATAGCCCAGATTAACTAAGATTTTAGCAATAAACTAAACCAGGATTAGAAAACTCTGAAAAGTATTTTTAAAAATTAAACAAAAATTAATTAAAATTTTCTTACTACTTTTGTTTTTAAGGAGTCCCAATATAAGACAAAACAACCACTTCAAGGATTATTGATAGCACATATTGTGTGCTAAATTACTCTGCTGTGTGCTATTCCAGTATTTTGGGAAAATGAAAAATAAAATCTGATTTTCAGCACGGTAAGTATGTCTTATTAAAAATTTTCTTAATTTTTTTGTACTGAAATTATTTCTTTAAAACTTCATTCATTAAATAGCTTGTTTTATCTGACCAACCCTTAAATGAATGTCACATTGTATTTTCATTTCATGTCTAATGAATGTCAAAACAAATTTGCATACTTTGGCTTCTTATCTGTTCACATTTTCTAATCAGTACAGAGCTGAAATAATATTTATTTATCCACTTCATGCTTCAAATACTAATATTATAAATCTATTAAAAGAATCATCAAGAATGTAAAATTACCTATAAGGTATTGATTTCTGCTATTGTTAGGTTTCTTCTAATCTGTCCTTATCTTTATTTCTAGGAGAAGGGAAATATTATTTTAAGTGGCACAAATGCCTCCTATATCAAGTGACAATTTAATTTACCATCTAAACTGGGCCACCTTTAGAGTGGAAGAGGGTGCTACATGGGGTCTTCAAAAAGTTCATAGAAGGATTCATATTATGTTTTAATTCAATTTTTCCATGAACTTTTTGAAGTATCCTCATTGATGTAGATTGGATGCCCCCCAGCCTCACTGATACTTAATCCCCACTGTAACTGTTGAGGATGGGAAATCCTCTTATGATAATTGAAAGCTGGGGCCTTGAAGAGGTGATTAAATTTTAAGACCATGCCATAGTGAATGTATTAAAAATGGTGGTCAGGGGTGTGGTTCTGAGGGCTTCAAAAGGAGAGCACATGAAGAGCTATCTCCTTCTCTGCTCCACCATTTTGCAATGTGATACCTGCCATCACTGTGGCCACCATAGAGACCCTCACCAGATGTGTTCCCTATACTGTGGACTTCCCAGCCTCTGAAACTACAAGCAAATAAATTTCATTTTCTTTATAAAACACTCAGTTCTGTGTATTTTGTCATAAGCAACAGAAATGACTGATACGCTCAGATAAATAATTAGGCTAGAACCACATCTGCAAACTGGACTCTCAGGCAAATCCAGACATCTGGTCAACTTAGTCTTTGGAGTCTAAGTGAGAACACAAGTTTTCATGTTCTTTTGAGGCCCTCTGAGGATCTCAGAAAGATGCCTAATCAAAAGGGTTTGTTCATTCCAAGACCCTGTATCCTATGTTCTACCTGTTCCTACCTTCTATAGCATCATGTACCCTCACTTACCCGACCACCATGTCCTTGGGTCCAGCAGTTACAGTGCAGATCCCATCCTCACAGTGTTTTCCCACCAGGCTGTGGGCATGGAGGTGGATATTTTTTCCATTTGTGACCAACTGAACAATAACCTTTGCAGGTCCCACATAGTTGCAGATCTATATAGGAAGCACATTTCAAAAGTTAGCACATCTGACTATATAGCAACATGGAAAAATGTTTATGATAAACCAGTAAGTATAAAAAGTATGATACAAAGTTATGCACATCCATACATATATGACCACAGTCCTTTTTAAAAGTATGTGATGAACACATGACAGGATGGAAATAAATCAAATGTTGACGGTGGTCGTTTTGTGTGGTGGGAAGATAATACTCCAGGAAGCAGGCTATTTACAATATATACTATATGTTGTTAAAGTTGGAACAGCACATCTTGGAGGATGCTGTGTGGCCATGAAGCATCTCTTTCCTACTAACCAAGAACACAATTCTTCTGCACTCATGTCACAGGTTTTGGTTACAAAATGTATGTAAATAAATGTGGTAGATCAATGAGAAGAGAATAGGTGATTGAAGGTAATCAAGGGAAGGAGGGAGATGAGCCAAACAGTCCATCCTAACTCTCTGCCATATGATTAGATGACAGAGTCTTGTCCAGGGACCTGGATCTGTGGGTTGACTATGGACACTCAAGCCCATGGACTTGGCCTGCAGGCATCTGTTAGGATACCTGAGCCTTCAGTAGCCTTCTCTGCTGTGAGCTCTGATAATTAAGTTACATACGCTCAGGTCATTGTAAGTTTCTTCAACTCAAAAAAGTGCACTCCTTAAGTGCAAATCCTGATTTCACACCTGTTTAGCTCTTGTTTTATAAAATCAGATTTTTCCATTTAAGGTAATCTACTTTTTATTGGCTTATCTTTAAAATGATGACAATAGCAATAAAAAGGAAATAGTATGGAGATAATGGCATTTTAAGCAAAAAGATCTTGGACACCCTTTCTCCTCTCGTTGGTCATCCAGTCCCCTATAGTAGACCAAAGATTCCTTCCTTGAGAAAGCCCCAACACTAAAATCATACTAACAGAAAGACCAATGGCCTTACTTTAACCTTCCTGAATCTTAAGTTAGAACCCTCTGATAAATTCAGCCAAACTGTTGGAAATTCACTGTGTCTCCTCAAAAGATGACCAACCATCCTACTTTGCCTGACACTGAGGGGTTTTCTGGGATGCAGGACTTTCAGAGCCAAAACCAGGACAAGCTATCTCCTTAGCTCATACGTACTTTTGAGGAAGTGCCTGAACTAAATCCAGGATCTCCCAACTATACAATCATTAGAAGTTAATATGCACAAGCAGCCCATAGCTCAAAAAACAAGTAATCCCACCTAGAGATGGCTCCTTGATGGAAGCCCTTCTGATACCACTTCAGGAAGAACCTAAACCTGCCAATAAAACTTCTTGGAAAGAGAATCCTTTTCAACCAGCCTATTTCTTCTATAAACATCATCAAATGAACTCATATTCCACTGAAGCAAGGTAGGATTTTCTCAGTATGGATTTTTTTCCCAATCCAATCTTTCATCACAAGAATTGAGAAGTTGATCAAAGCTGGGATTATCCCCAGGAGCATTTAGGGGGAGAGAAGTTACATCCATGTACAAAGGATAGGCTCCCCTCCAACTATTGAAGCTCCACTGGGAACCACAGGGGCTCCTTGCTTGAACTTTGGAGAAGAGATGCTGCAAAGGTTTGCTTCTAAACTCTCTTAACCCCCCTTCCCAAGGAGCAGGGCCACCAGCAGGAGTAGCCTCCAGTCCTTGAGCAAGCTAATCACAAAGAGGGTTTAGGATTAAATTTGATTTTATCAAAAATCACCTGGAAAGACAAAGAAATAATTTCTTAAACAGGTATAGCACTTAAAAAACCCTCTAGGTATAAAGCTAATTATGAACTTAATATTTTCCCATTTATAACAGGCAGAAAGCCTTTGCCCTTAAGTACAGGACAGAGAATGAGAAGTTCTGGGTTTGCTTCAAAGTTGGCTGTTGTCTCTACATACTCTCTGGATTGTTGCCAGTTCTGTATCTTGGTGTCAACATGTGAAATCAGTCTTTGTTATGATGAATATCCCACAGTGGCTTCTTCAGCAATAAATGAACAGTGAAAGAGCACCAAATAAACCATGTAATTTCACTTTTAAGTGGCACTGAGCACAGGAATGCAACAGGGTAAGGCATGATGAAACGCTTCACTTGGGTGAAATTGGGTAGGCTTTCCACTCTAGCAGGACAGCAGAAGGAATTCAGAGATTAAAGTCCAATCTCTTTGGATATTTAGACACTTCATAATTGCCACTATGAGATAATTAGTCACTGAGGGAAAGAGATGGGAAGTGTCCTCAGAAAGTCCTCACATTTTTTTCTTACTATTACTTCATGACTGAAGGGTGGCAAGAATGAGGAACCGGGTTGTCTCTGAGGTAAAGGACCTGAGAAATTTGCCAATGACTAATGTGCTGTTTGATCCATTTGAAACAGTCCAAGTCAGCACGATGTCATCTGGTTTTTACATAGACCACAGAGCAACGACAGGGAGGCCCCTGGGTTTTGTGGACTTTCCAAAATACTGACTGAAAGAAGAAAGATGAAGTGCAGGGACAGAAAAAACTGGCACTATTGGCAAATCCCAGGGCACATGAAGACACTGGCCTTCTAACTAGGAGGAGAGCATACTTCATAAAATGTCATGATGACTGAGAGCTATTTGCAATTGATTAAAAAATTCACTTGCTCTGTGGAGAATTTACTTTTTATTTAGCCTCCCTCTGACTTCTTTGAATAGTGGTTTCCTTGAAAATTAAGTTTAGAGAGAGCAACTATATCTGCCTCAAAGGTGGAGTTATTTCTGAAAGAGTCTGGACATAGCAGTCTCTTAATAAACAATAATGGCTTCAATACAAGTTAAGCTTTCAATTACAGCTAAGGAGACAAAGGTGACGAAAGTGAGTAACTGGCTACCCAGGGACACTGTAAGGGCATGGACTTTAGGGGCAGACTAGCTGGACTGGAAGACAGTTCCACCATTTACTAGCTGTGTAGCCTTGGGAAGAGCTCAGTTTCCTCGTCTATAAAATGGGGACTATCAGAGTACCTCAAAGGGCTGTGGTGAGAATTAAATACATTAATGCATATAAAGTCTTTAGAACAGTACCCAGCAAATAATAGTAGTATATGAGTGTTAACTATTACCTTGTTTATTACTGTAATGTACTCTTCAACCTAGAGATCTTTAAATAATACAACTGCCCTGAGATAATTTTTTTAAAAATCCTGTCTAAAAGCAGATGGCTGGAATAAATACCTAAACAGGCCACTTCTATTCCTAGGGTAAATCTTTTCTCCAGAGAGCCATATTTTGTTGGGCTTTGTTAATTTTCTAATAATAATTATGTTACTATAGTAACAGCTTTCATTTTGGGGGGTACTCAGGATTTCTTGGCTTCCTTGATGAAATTTAAGATTTCTTCTAGGAGCTTTATGATTCAACACCTACTGACGATCACAGGCTAGATCTGCTTTTTGATTAAGAAGCAGAAACCAAGGGTTTCAGATAATACCAATCTTAGTCAAATCACCACCTTTTATTTAAAAGAATTCTGTCATGCTGTGGCAAGGTACATGTTGGCTCTTTAAAGACTGTTAAAAGAAGTATTCTAGAATTTTCTAGGAATCAGAATTTAAAATGTCCAGTTTACTCTCTGGGTAAATTTGGCAAAAACACTTTGGCAGAATGTAGAGTCAACATGAATGTAAGACGTGACACATGAAGTAGTTCTCAACTGCTTAGCTTTTCTTGTGAAGTGATGATGGCGATGGTGATAATAATGAAGAGAAGCAGGGAAAAAATCTACAATTTTCCAACAGAAATCTATCCTGACTTAATTTGTGTACCTGACTTTGTCCTCTATCTCATAAAGCAGCAGAACAATGTGACTAAGTCTAAGCCAGGCTCTGAAGCCAGGCTGCTGGGCTCAAATCCCCCTGCTGCAACTTATTAGCTGTGTCAACAGGGAAAGATGGTTATTATCTCTGGATTTCAGCTTCTATGTCTTTAAAATAAAAGTAACAATGCACTTGATTTCATAGGACTGTTTTTAGGCTTAAATGAGTTAATACAGTGCTTGGTGCCTGATGGGATCGACAATCTGAAATATAAATCCTCTCTCCATTCAGGCTATTACTTCACTGATAACCCAAATTCATCCAATTATCCAGTGAATGTTTATTAAGCCCTTTCTATGTTCCATGCACCACAGTAAGTCAGAAAGGGATACATTGTGACAGCAGAATAGACATAACCCCTATTCTTGGGGAACTAAAGAGTGGGACTGATACTAATTAAAAAATCTCACAAATAAATGTAAGAGCATAACTGGGAAGAGCGTACAAAGAAGATATATGATAGAGATTTGAGCTGGTCAGGAAGTCAGAGAAAGCCTCTGGAGGGAACAATGAAGGCTGAGATTGGAAAGAAGATTAGGGGTGTAAAAAAGGAAGGGGTGGGCAGGGGACAAGGGGGCTGAGAGACTATTCCTGGCAGAGAGAACAGCATGTATGAAGGCTCTGTGGTGAGAGTCCTACTCATGACCTCCTCAGACCTACTCACTGCCACTTCTCAGGGTTTCCTTCAAGTGGTCACCCCCTATCCCCCAGTGCCAGGTGTCCCTTCTCTTCCCTGTTGAGAACCATACAATCTCCAAGGGTGGGACCTAAATCTGAATCTTCCATGACACCCTCTTCACTCCTTTAGCACACAAAACTCCACTACTGTCACTTTTGGGGGAAATATGATTGGAGGGGACCAGGAAGGAAAACCATGCAACTTATTGCAACAAGATGGTAAAACCAACTGGCAACTAAAGGGCTATTGACTTACTTCTCTTGCTTGTTAAATTGTCAAAGCACATATAGCTATACTTCCTGATTTAAATGCTAACTCAGCCAATCCCCACAAGAGCCCTATAGAGTCAGTAGTGGTACCCCATTCCACAGCTGAAGAAACTGAGGCTCAGTAAGATGAAGTAAATTGCCATGCTTCCTATAAAAGTAGTGATTGGGCAATTCTTTGAACTTGGGTCTGTCTACCTG